CAATAATTAAGACTTACTGTTGCATATAGTTCCCAAGGTGTCATAGTCATCAACATTTTCACACAAAACACGCCACTGAGAGAAGACAGAGTTTTGGCTTAGAAGATTGGTATCAAAGTTGCTTCTAGCTCCCATGAGCTCATCTGTGCAGATGTCACAAGTGTTTCTACCTGTTGCAAAGTTCCAGTAGGGGAGTGCAAAAGAAGGGTCCTGGATCATGTCCTGGAAAACAGAACAAAGGGTTAATAATGAATTGCATTGTGCTGAAGGTGAAATTCTAGGTTTGTTAAGGCATTATAGGTTGAGTATCCCTTATCCAAAATGCTTGGAATCAGAAAGGTTTCATATTTTGAATTTTCTCTCCCTCCCCCCTCACAATTTTTTTTGAGAATACTTGCATATACATAATGAGATTTCTTGGAGATATTCATACATATCTTACACACATAGGCTAGTGGTAATTTTATACACAATATTTTAAATAATTTTGTGCATGTAACACAGTTTGTGTACACTGAACCAACACAAAACAAAGGCCACTTTGTATCTGCCACTCAGAACTATTTTGGAGTATTTTGGATTTCAGAATTATGGATAAGGGGTACCGACAGGGGCGGCTTGTCCATTATGCGAAGTAAGCGGTCGCAGAACACTTTTTTTTGCCAGGGGTGCAGAGGCGCCTCTGTAAGTGCCCCTCGACCACCACTTGAGGAGCGCCCCCTTAGCTCACAACAGCCCTAGCAGTCCGGGGGGAGCCTCAGCTTTCTTGCCTCACTGCCAGGTGCTCCTCTTCCCAAAGGGGCTGGGCCCTTGATCCTCGCCTAGCCCCTCTCATTCCTGCTCCACCTGGCCACCAGGTGCGCAAGCAGAGCCGGCGCTCAATTGTTCTCCACGTTCGATCCATTTCCCATGACCGGCTCCCTTTCCCGATCCCCCGGCACTCCACCCGCCTCCTCTCCCCAATCCGGAGCCGCCGTGCCTGGCCTGCTTCGGGTCCGGAGGCGTGTCTGAAGACCCCAGCGTGCGCACCAAAAGTCGCCTCTTTTCCTGACTTTCTCTTCAGCCATTGGGACCGAGAGAGAGAGAGAGCGAGAGAGAGAGAGACCCTCCGGCTGGAGGTATCTCCCCCCTCCGCTCCCTCCTTTGTTTTTGCGCCTACCTTCAGGAAAGGTAGGCATCTCCACCTCTGTCTCTCTGTCTCTCTCTTGGTCCCAATGGCTGAGGAGAAAGTCAGGAGAAGAGGTGACTTTTGGTGCACACGCCGGGGTCTTCAGGCACACCTTCGTAACCAAAGCGGGCTAGGCAAGGGAGCAAGTGCGGCAAGTGTAGTTACTGGGATGTATAGTTCACCTACAATCAAAGAGCATTCTGAACTCCACTAATGATGGAATTGAACCAAATATGGCACACAGAACTCCCGCTACGAACAGAAAATATATATCAATGATTGGTTGGGGGTGGGGGCACCAAAATATTGTTTGCTTACCGTTGAAAATTACCTAGGGCTGCCTCTGGGTACCGACCTTTATTGTCAGTGGTACCAGAAATGTTTTCAACATCATCTTCCCATGTAAAGATTGAGAGTATATTTCTATTATCTGGCTATAGCATTTTGATGATGTTTCAACTCTTATGGCACCATTCTACAAAATTGTGGGATTTGTAGTTTACTGAAGAATGTAAAGTTTCAAGCAGAAAATTTTAAATACATTACCACAGTTATAAGTCCCAGGATTCCATGGGATGGAAGTAATGCCATTTTGTTTCTTGTTGATTCAATGTACACAAATTTTGTTTGGCATGCAGATAACCTCAAAATCTACACCCAAGGATACTTCCACTTAAATATCAGGCACTTCCCTGCTCCTGCCCATTCTGTATTTTCATTCAGACATTCAGCTTGCTATCTCTCCCAGCATTGCGTAGAGTGAAACCCTTCACATTTTTTAAAAACACATTTAACCAAATTTTCATCTGAAAGTTGTGGGCTGAGTTAATAATGTGTAGAATGATATTGTTAATTCATATTGGTGAATGGAAGGAACAATGGGCTAAAAGGGGGTCTGGAAGAAAAGAAGGACAAGCACCTTGCTTTGTTCAATAATATTAAATGACATTAAAGCTATGTCTACATTTGAAATTCCTCACCCTGTCTGCAATTAGCAAAAGAGAATGGTGGTGATGCTGACATTCTTCAGTAATTTAGGGAAAACATGAAAAGGAAATCTGAAGAAAATGTATTTTTGAGACATTTCAGAGAAGCTATAGAACAGGGATGTCAAACTCATTTTCACAGAGGGCTGCATCAGCCTTATGGTTACCTTCAAAGAGTAATTGTAATTGTAAGACTGTATAAATGTTACTATATTTTCCCAGCTTTGAAAGCCTTGTGGGCCACATAAAATTACATGGTGGGCTGGATTCAGCCTGTGGGCCTTCCATTTGACATTTGTGCTCTAGAAGAACTTGAAAATACATTTAGCTTTTGGCTAATGTGAGTAATGGGGACAGAAATTCTGCCTCAGGACAAGATTAACCTATTCTTCTACAATTTGCTGTCCAGACCAGACTTGGTTGGATAGCCCCTTAAATAAAGGATTGTCTTCTGATAGTATTTGAAAGGAAGATCTTTTGTAACTGATCTGCTTTCTTGTACACATATGGAGAACCTGTGATCCTCCAGAAGGGAGACTGCGACTTACCTCATCCTTCACCATTGGTGTGCCTCAACCACTATCTTAATATGAGATTGTTATTGTTGTTATTTGGCATCAAGTCAGCTCCAACCTATGGTGATCCTATGAATGAGAAAACTCCAACAAATGGAGGGCATTCCACACGGCCATATATCCCAGAACATCAAGTCAGATAATCCACAATATCTGCTTTGAACTGGGTTATCTGAGTCCACACTGCCATATAATCCAGTTCAATGTGGATTTTATACAGCTGTGTAGATGGGGCCTGCATCAACTTTTACTGATCTTGCAAACCCGATGTCATGACCTCCCTGGCTGAGTCAGTCTATCCATAGTGCTATCTTCCTCTTTCTCCCATCTTCCACTTTGCAAAGCATTATTATCTTTTCCATTGAGTCACATAAACTCATGACATGTCCAAATTATTATAGCCTCAGTTCTCCTGTCTTCTAGGTAGATGGTATTAGATATGGAATAAGGAGATTACCTGGATGTCTTTTTCCAGCTGTAGAAGGTGGTATCTATGCCAGGTGAGAAATGCTGGACCTTCATGGGAGAAATCTATTCCTCCAAAACTGGGCTGCCCTGGGCCAAGGAATGTCTTTCTGACAGAGTAGTAATGGGACCACACAAAGTAATTATAAATTGTCACATTTTCGAATTGTGGTGTGTTACCATCAGGACCCAGTATTTCTTCCCGCCTTCGGATAGCAATCACAATGTTGGGGTGCATTGTGTTCTTAGCTTGTTGAAGGACTCTTAGGAATCGATTCCTTTCCTCATTATTCAGATCCAGGATGTTTCTTCTGACTAAAAATTAAGCAAATGGTACTAAGGAATAAAATGAAGTAGAAAAGGACAATGCACATTTATTCATTTCCTATTTTTAAAAACATCCAAATCAGTAAAACCCAGGCACTGCAGAATTGCATTAGAACTCTCTTCCCACAGAATGATAGACTCTCATGAATTTCATGTTTATTCGGTTATAAAACATTCAGTTATAAAATATGTTATTTGTCTTTATATTGTAAAGACAAAAACAATCCTTTAGTACTTATTTTGTATTGGGAAATGAAACTAACATTTTACATGAGAACTGGGAATTCTGTGAATTCATTTATAGTTCATTCTAAAAAAGACAAGTACATTTGACTGAGCCTTATAGTCTTTCTATAATAATAATAATAATAATAATAACAACAACAACAACAACAACAACAACAACAACAACTTAATGTTTGCATTCCACTTCCATCTCCCCGAAGGGAATTGGGGCGCCTTCCATGGGGACAAGCCCAATCAACATAGTTGAAAATAAACACATTAAAATACATAAACAAAAGCATAAAACAAAATAAAGCATCATCATTATAACAAAATATAAAAGCAACCATTGAACCGACAGCCAATGGACCAGAAATAATATCCAGTTTTCGACAAGGATAGGCAGACTGGTGCAAATCAATTGTAAGGATAGGGTTGATGGATAAAGTGAGTAAGGGATAGAGGACAATATAAAGTAGAGCATTATATCTTTGGGTAGAAAACAGTAGTAAAGTGCAGGAATGAAATTTGGGTCATAGCTGGAGCCAAAATTGTCTGAGAAATTGTCTAATCAAAAGCACAATGGAATGTCCACATTTTTAGCTCTTTGTGGAAGATGGACAGGGTGGGTACTAACTTAATCTCCCTGGGGAGGGAGTTCCAGAGCCAGGGGGCCACCACTGAGAAGGCCCTATCTCTCGTCCTCACAAACCGTACTTGTGATGGGGGTGGAAGTGAGAGGAGAGTCTCCCCAGAAGATCTTAGAGATTGCACAGATTTGTAGAGGAAGATCCTGAACTGACTAGGGCTTTATAGGTGGTAACCTGCACTTTGAATTGGGACCGGAAACTTATCGGCAGCCAGTTGAGTTGTTTGAACAGGGGGTTGACCACTTCCTGTAATTTCCTTCAGTTAACGATCGGACTGCCTACCTTTGCACTAACTGTAGTTTTCTAAGATATATTAAGTATCTACAATTAGTTCACCGTCTTTTTACAGAATTTTTTTACACAGACAGAAGAAACTTTGTTCAGGTAAAAAAATTATTTAGTGCGTGTAAATTAATGAATAATTTTGTTTTTTTGTTCACAATCTTTTGGTTTCTTCTCCTAACAAACATATTTTACACACCTATTTCTTAGTGTCAATTTTTGCAAGCTATTTTCCACCAATATCTTTGTGCCTGTGTTGCCCAAGCTCAGACATTTCATGTGCATTTTCTTTAATATACACACTGCCGGCCTGCCTCTCTCTCTCTGAATAAGACTATTATGTATAGGAAAAACTTTGTACAGACAGTCCACGCGTTACAAACATCTAACTTACATCTGACTCCTTGTTAAGAACGGGGGTGAGACTACAGGCAGTGAGAAAAATCTACCTTCAGAAGTGAAATTAACTTCTAAAAGAGTTTTCATGGGGAAAATATGTATCTGTTGAAGTTTTAGCACTAGCATTTGTTTCTACAACAAGCCACATTTTTCAAAATCCAATTATCACAGGAACATAAAGTGAGGTGAAATCTTTTGAACAGGGGCAGAGACAGCAAAACAAACACCACAGTGCTGTTGACCCTTCCCTATGCTATCCAAAGTGCATATGTGTGTGTTTGTGTGTGTGTGTGTGTGTGTCTGGGTCTACACTTCAAAAATGTATCTGTTCCAACTTACTTACAAATTCAACTTAAGAACAAACCTACAAAACCTATCTTCTCTGTAACTTGGGAACTGCCTGTATACTAGATTCCACATATAGGGTGAAGGCAGAAAGATTTTTTAAATAAAAATTCACATGGACTGAATATCTTCTATATCTGCAGTCTACACTAATAAAAGTAGCAATATCAATCATTGTGTTTTCTCCATTGATGCTTAGCTATGTGTATGATTATCTCACCCTTTCAAATCTAAATAGCCTGACATTTCAATCCTGCCTATACAAAACTGAGAATGTATCGCTGTGTCATTAATGCACAATGGAGAACCTCCTTGTAGCAACACCAGAGGCACTCCAAGTGGCCAACTACTGGTCAAACGACATTTAATCAACTATCAAGCTTACAAACTCTGTTTTGTCTGTTTGTTAAAAAATTGTTAAAAATGTAATACAATTGTCTGGTTGATACTGACACGATAAATAAATAAATAAATAAATAAATAAGTGCAGTTTAACTGCTGTGGCTCAATGTTATGGAATCATTAACATTGTGGTTTGGCCCTGGTCAAACTAGCACTCTTTGGGAAAGAAGGCTAAAGATCTTGTAAATAGCTCTCATGATTCCATAGCATTGGGCCATGGCAGTCAAAGGCATATCAAGCTGCATTAATTAACAAGGTTTCCATGCTGAGCAAGAATTTGACCTCTATTAATAGCTTCAGACCATCACACCATGCTGGCTAAACAGGCAGCCCTTTAAAAAAGAAAATAGTGTAAAGCTTTCTGCAAAATGGATCCCAAATCACACTTTTCTGAACAAGAGCTGGAATTTGCCACTCAGCCCCAAATTTGACCTAAAATGTAGACATCTGCCAAAATGTGAATATCATGTCTGATCAAATGCAGTTCATAAATGTGTATTTAAAAGTAAACACATTTCAAAAATATGTTGTGATTGTGCAGGAGGTACGCAAACCAATTGAAAATCTGAATGCCAAACTTTTGGATATGTGTCACTGAATGTCGCACAAAGTCTGGTGATGCTGTAATAAAACATGTATATTTCTACAGCATAAAGTGCAGATATGTTAAATTACAGTACAGATTTATCCCAAATATTATGTTTTCCTTTCTGACTCAAAGACTCAGAATGCTGTGAAAACATATAGCTGGAGATCTACCCATCTCAAATGTATTGTTGATTGGCTTAGTCCAATGCTTTCTAAACTGTGTGTCACAACATATTAGTGTATCGGATGCAGGGTATAGGTGAGTTACACTAACTTAATGAGATATAACAAAAATCTTGGAAATGTATGTTATTCTCTTACAAATCATATATTTTAAAAAATATGAATGAAAGATTTTTATAATATACATTGTGTCATCATACATTTTATTGTTACAATTTATTTGTCTGTCCACATCTATCATAAGGGGTTGATTTACCTCTTGTTTGGTAGTAAAACTGAATTACTGTGTCGTGAAATTATGCATGTTTAAAAAGTGTTTCACCATCATGAAATATTGGGAAAGCTCTGGCTTAGATGTTCACAGAGGCACTGAAAACTGACTCATTATGAATAATTTCTTATCAGAAACACATCGATATTAGGTAGTCAAAATTCTGAAATCATTACAGAAAAAGAAAGCATTTTTTTTACCAATAAGGCATGACAAAAGCGTGAATATTAAGTTCATTTTCTTTTTGAAAGTTCTCCTTACCTGTCTGAGTCTGCTGGTCACATGCAGGTCCACTCCAACCGGATCGGCAGGACCCACAATTGTAGCCTGAAAAATTTCTGTTGCATTGGCAGGTTCGGTTGAAGAAGCGTAGAGGCCACTGCTCCCGGTCATCTTGACCATCATGCATATACTGTGGTCCATGGGGCCGACTGTCTGCCATCACTTGGACACATTGGCCCCTTCCAGTAGATGATCCACAACGGTCTGAACCAGGTATCACCACTGGAGATAGATCTGGGCAACATTCACCGCTTGTCAGAGCCGCAACTGTAGCACACTGTCGGGGGAACTGAGCATGAATTTCTTGTAAAAGGGTGAGGAGTAGTAATATAGATAGAGACATAATAATGCTCTGGATTTAGCAAAACGGAGAAGTCTGATCTCGCGTCCCTTCTTTTGAGTCAGTATCCAGAGAATGCTTTTATTTTCCTTGTAGAGAATGTAAGTTCTAAAATGGAAGAAGAAAGGAGAAGTACATTATAATGCCACAAAATATCCACCCAAGACATCTTCACCAATTTTTTAATTTGCTCCAGATTTTTTAAAATCCATTTTTTGAAAGGATGTTTAATGCAATTATAGTTTGAATTGTTGTTTACAAGTTGGTCATTTATCCTCGAAACTTGGGATCAGAATGTTATGTATTTCATATTTCTTTGGATATTGGAATACTTGTATATAAATAAAGAGATATCTTGAAAAATGCCCTCCCTAGATACACACTGAACCAAGTCAAGATGTGTAGTATTCAAAGCCTGGTAAGATATTTTGCACATGAGACAGAAAACTGTCACAGGTACCTCTTCTCTGCACTGGCAGTAAAAATGCAACTTGTGTATCTCTTATCCAAAATGCTTGGGACCAGATGTGTTTTCAGATTTTTTTTCATATTTTAGAACATCTATCTTTGCATATGCGTGCATAATAAACATGAAGTGCATTTATGTTTCATATACACATCACATACATAACCTGAAGGTAAATGTATACTCAATATTTATAATAATTTGTGCATGAAATGAAATTTGCACACATTGAACCATTAGAAAGAAAATGTTTGAGTAAATCAGTCAACCATATGAATTTTGGATGTTGAAGTATTTCATATTTTGAAAATTTGGTTAAGGGATGTTCCTCCTTTATCAGCATAATCAGGAGCCACTGCAATAATCAAAATGTTAGCAACATTGGAGCAGCAACAACATATCCAGTCTCAGTGGACATGCAAACTACCATATAGTTTGTATAGTTTCCTGAGCCAAAAGGAAAATGCAAACACATTGACTGAAGGTCCAAAGGAATCCACTAAATTAAATTGCATAATGAAAGCATCTTTACTCTGAAAAGGCAGTGAATCAGAGCATCTCAGTAACTCTCAGTCCAGATATTTCTGTCAGCAGTCCTGCCGTTTTCCCAACAAAAACTATCACATTTACATCTATGCAGTTTTTCATGACATCAACCAACACAACTTTCTGTTAACTCAAATTAACTCAGTGACCCTGTACGTCAGTTGCTCGTGACATATCCTCCTTTAGTAAATTTATTCCAAAATTACCATTAATCTCCAAACAGAAAAGTATTTAAATCCTTCACAGCATGTACACACAGTTTATAATTCACAATTTCTATTAAAACTAAACATTTATAATGCATACTTTAAAGAAAGATTTCTGCCTTGTACCTTTCAGTGTTTTGATGCGTTCCTGAGTGCTTCTTGTCTGACTGATATTTTCATACCAGTTTTTTTAAAGTAGCTCCAACACTGAATCAAACAGTGCTAGTTTGTTTTGGATTTCTGTCTGCTTTGTAATCTGGGCCTTGCCAACAATTTGGTTTGGCGTGACCCTCTCTCTTTCTCTCTCCTCCTAATCCCTTTCTACTTCAGTACATTCCCCCCAGATAAGTACTCCGACAGCACATGATTCTTTTCATGCTGATCTCCTTGTGATTTTACAAGTTTTAAAAAAAGGTCAGAGGAAAGTAATTGCAGTGTAAAACAGAGAACTCCAAAGTAAACGGGTTCTTTATTCTTCTTTACGCAAAGGAAGAGGCACAAGGAGATTTGGGGGTCATGGGGAATGGGTGGGATGAAGTAAAGAGGCATCCCCATAGAACAGAGAGACATTCTTAAGGAACAAAGAGCTTCAATTTCACACAAGGAATACCATGAAGAATGTCAGCTTCATTGTGCCAGTATCACAGCTGACTCTTCTACATGAGATTAATACATTGTAAATGGTTTCAGATTAATGATTTCTCAAGCACTTTGGCCAATGTCTCATGAAGAATGGCTACCACATTATAGGCATGTATTAATGCCATGTCAAAAATGCCTTTGATGTACATCAGGCAAACTTAGGTTATGGCTGTCAAGATGTTTTTAAGCTGTTGCTTCCATTATCCCTTGTCATTTGCTATGCCAGCAGGCAGTGACAATATTTGTAATCCATCAACATCTGAAGGTCTCTGAACTTAGAATACTTAGAAAATGTCTGAAATATAGCTAGAGTCTATTCTATGGAGATTGATGGAAGTAAATAAATTATATTCCTTTGCCGCCATTGCATCTTCAGCAACCAGAGTCCTTTACACACTAACCCACTGCTTCTTGCAACCTCATCACACAAGGAGATTTCAGCACCCTAGGGCGCTTCTGCCCCAGTTGAGCCACAGAGCCTCACACCATCCATCACACAACATAGGCTCACTTTTGCCAGGACAGCAGTGTCCTATGATGCTGCATCACCAACACAGGAGCCTCCCCATCTTCCATGAGGAACAATGGGACTACTGTGGGGGAAACCATGCAGTGATGCTTCACCATGTGTGATGGGTAAGCACCAGCTGCCAGTGAGGAAGGGCATGGGGTGCCAGAATCCCCCCCCCCAATTTGCCATGTAGGCTGGCGAGTTGGCACAGGCGAACTCATCAAAGTGATGAAGTCCTTAATTGGGGCTCCTGATCCCAAATGGGATCCACTTAGCTCAATGTTGGGAATCACAATAAATTTGCCAACAGTAAATCTGTTAACAACAATGCACAGTGTTTATAGTGGACTCTTCAGAAAATGCTTCAGCTATACTTCGATAAATGTTTGATTCTATACCACTTGCATATGCTTGTATACCCGGGGTCATGTAAAAATTTCTTAGGTGGAAAGGGATTACGAGTGGGAAAAGTGTAAGAAGGCCTGCTCCAGCCATACAAAGAAAACAAAGACTGTAAAGAGTAAGACTTCATAGCCAAAATCTTCTGGATCTGCTTTGACATAGATGCTATAGTTTGAGACAAGTCTAGTGAGGGAGGATATATATATTCATGTATAAGTTGATCTCATGTATAAAAACAGGTAAGTTTTTGGGTCAAAATTATGAATTTTGAAATTACCTATAGATAAGTCGAAAGTCATTCCACATTTCCCTGAGTGTCATTGCCAACATTTCCCAGTCAGGCATTTAAAATGTATTTTGAGACCCTACTCAAAAGTTATCAAAAAGGAACCATCCCCTTCATTGAGTAGAGTGGTGAAAGGAAGAGATTAGTCTGTCCTGGGAGAACCTAAAAGAATCCCCAACCTCTATGCTCTCAAAACTCCTTTGAGGAAAGCACCAAAGAGCCACTTCCAGCATTTTCCCACCCAAGAATTCAAAACTGCTGGAAATGCCAACATAGTGGAGGAATTAGTGTGGATCTTTTAGATTCTCATAGGACTAAGCCTCTCTCTCTCTCTCTCTCTCTCTCTAATGAGGGAGTGGGATCAAAATAGCTCAATAAAGAATGAGTATTTTCAGTTCCCACTAAAATCTACTATTTTTGAGTATGGGCGAGAAGGTATGGAATGGCCAGAATACACTATTCTGAAAAGGAGCAAGAATGACTAGAATCTTAAACTGCAGTGCTCTGCAATGCAACCTTTTGTTACAGGTTCCATGTGTATGATATCAAGATACAATCCCAAATTGGAGAGAAAATAGTCTCCCACCCAAGTGTCCTTATCCTTCTGTTGAAGCACTACTAGATAAGGGGTGAACAGAGGCGGCCCTAGGTAATTTTCAATGGTAAGCAAACAGTATTTTGGCCCCCCCCCCAACCAATCATTGATATATATTTTCTGTTCGTCGTGAGAGTTCTGTGTGCCATATTTGGTTCAATTCCATCATTGGTGGAGTTCAGAATGCTCTTTGATTGTAGGTGAACTATACATCCCAGTAACGACACTTGCCGCACTTGCTCCCTTGCCTGGCCCGCTTTGGGTCCGGAGGCGTGCCTGAAGACCCCGGCGTGTGCACCAAAAGTCACCTCTTCTCCTGACTTTCTCCTCAGCCATTGGGACCGAGAGAAAGAGAGAGAAAGAGGTGGAGATGCCCACTTTTCCTGAAGATAGGTGCAAAAACAAAGGAGGGAGCGGAGGTGGGAGATACCTCCAGCTGAAGGGGCTCTCTCTCTTTCTCTCTCTCTTGGTCCCAATGGCTGAAGAGAAAGTCAGGAGAAGAGGCGACTTTTGGTGCGCACGTTGGGGTCTTCAGACACGCCTCCGGACCCGAGCGGGCCAGGCGCGGTGGCTCCGCCCCTTGGCCCACCCGCGGATTGGGGAGAGGAGAGGAGGCGGGTGGAGCACCGGGGGATCGGGAAAGGGAGCCGGTCATGGGGAAGGGATCGAACGCGGAGAACGATTGAGCGCCGGCTCTGCTCGTGCACCCGGTGGCTGGGTGGAGCAGGAACGAGAGGGGCTAGGCGAGGCTCAAGGGCCCGGCCCCTTTGGGAAGAGGATCGCCCGGCAGCGAGGCAAGAAAGCCGAGGCTCCCCCCGGACTGCTAGGGCTGTTGTGAGCTGAGGGGGCACTCCTCAAGTGGCGGTCGAGGGGCATTTACAGAGGCGCCTCTGCGCCCCTGGCAAAAAAAAAAGTGTTCTGCGACCGCTTACTTCGCGTAATGGACGAGCCGCCCCTGGGGGTGAATATACATTGTAGATTTAATGAACACCACTTTGACAGTGATGGCTCAATGCTGTGTAATTTTGGGAGTTGTAATTTGGTGAGGGAACTTGTAAAACTGCAACTCTCATAATTCTACAGCATTGAGCCATGGCAGCTGAAATAGTGTCAAACTGTATTAATTCTAGAGTTTGGATGCACAAAGAGGTTGGAGATAACGAGTTATTACCAATTTGTTAATGTTAAGCTTGATCTCTGTTGCATTTAATAAACTGATTGTTATTATTTAACTATATTTTAATTAACTCAATAGATTTGAATTAACTCACTGGGTTATTAGCTTACTAGAGCCCTCAATTAATGCTGAACTTAAACATATGCATTAACAAATTAGGTTTCTAGGAATCATTAGAATT